CCGCCATGAACGGCAGACGGAGAAGAGGAGGGAAGGTGGGAGATGGGAGAGGCAGAAGTGGGCGACGTCATCGGGAAGATCCGGGAGGAGGGGCGGAGAGGGGCGGTGGTGGAGAGCCAGTTTCCGGCGCTTGGAGGGGGAGTCAAAGGGGACGGCGGGGGAAGTGGCAGCGGTGACCATCAGAAGGGGGGCGGCGGAGGAGGAGAGGGAGATCGGAGAAAGCGGCGATTGAGAAAAAGAATCAGAGAGTTGCCGTTCTTCATCTCTGGTTTTGGATTTGGATCATTTTGATTCGACGGCGTAAAGTTATTATTCGTCAGAAAACCAAAAGAAAAGCCAACAGTCAGTTCCTCCTTTTGAATCGCCCAAATATTGCCTTATATTATATGCCCACACAATTCCTTCACAACACTTTTCTTCTTTCCCTATATAATATATAATATAAAATATATATGTGTGTGTGTGTGTGGTAAAATTACAAATTGGGTCTTTTTATCAAAAAAAAGTCAAACTATTTTTCTAGTTAAAGTAATTAGGAATAAAATTGAATTTTGTGTTTGATAAAATCCAACGTTAAAACATGTATAATTAAAAATACAGAAACTTATTAGATACTATTTAAAATTCAAAATCTATTAGAAAAAACTTATAGATCTATTAAAGATACATTACACATCATTTTATAATTTAATCTTTGTACATCTTATCTAATATTTAGATTTAGATTTTTCTTTTTATAAAAAAGAAAGAGCAAAAAGACTATTTTGTTTATTATTTTTTTTTTTTGAAGGTTTTTCCTCCATGTTTCAATATTTACATACTCTTATGGTCACCAATCGGTTACCAATCTCCTCTAAATCTTTTTTATTTAATCTAATCTCTTTAGACCAATGAATGATGGTTTATATTTCGACCTTACGTTTAGCAAAAAATGCTATCAAACATGAATTTACTTCAAAATGTACGATAATTATCCAAATATTCTTTTATTGGGAGGTAAAAGTAAAAAATTTGTACTTGAGCGTAATTCAATAAATTAGCCATATGCTATAAGAAAAATAAAATAAAGAAAAGAAGAAGGATTGAAATATAATTATTAGGTGCACATTAAGAAATATAGAGGCTAGTGGTTGAGAGGGAGATGTATGGGGTCAATGGGGGATAAAAATTATAAAGTAGAAAAGGGAATATTTATTAGGGTTTTGAAAATTTAGGCGCTGTGAGAATCCAAGTCCCTACTTTAGGTGAGAGAGATGAATAT